GTACATCAGAATGTGCCAAACGGTCTCTGTAAGCATTGCATCACTGACGATCGCATAGTTGATCCCTCAGGAAGCTTAGTTTATCTTATGGAAATGCCGCGTACCGTCTTCGTAAGATAACTGATATGTACGCTCTGCCCTCTTTAAACTGCTAATATTTTCGCTCACTTCTGTTGGATTACTTTGAAAATCTCTATCTTTTTCATTCCTGATCTGTTCATCGAAAACTCGACTGTTTTCACAGGTTTACAAATCAATTGTATGTACACATTTCCGCTCAGTATGCCTATCTGTGATACTGTTCTGTGGTATCCACTTTTAGACCGACAAAGGTAAATGGGATTGTGACGCACGGGAAGCAACAAACTCTCGATGTGTCCAGCCGCCCTCAAGAACCATTGGATGTCACCAAGTCCGTGTTAATTTCTTTCGTGGATCGTTGGATAGAACAGACGTGTACAGAAGTAAGCCCAAAGTCGGTTTCCGGACTCTCCTACGCATTTATTTTAGCTGTCTTTTGCCACAGTAGTCCTTTCACTTGGACCGGTTTAAATACTATTCACTTGTCTTGTTAAGACTTTATGGTGTGTTGTTGACCTCGTGTTTTATGCGCCTCGTCCAATGAATGTGGAGCTATCACAGAACAATAGTGTATTGTGCTTGGACAGGTTTCTTCCCACATGATTTTTTCCATTGGCACATTTACCAGTTATATAGACCAGGAGATCATTTTACACGGCGGTTTTTCGACCCCAGCTTCCTCCGTTTCCCAGATTCAAACTAGTTATTGGGAATATTCCAATATACACCAAATCCGCTTCATCTTCCAGGCCAGACGTTTCTTCGCCTCCTTTTGCAAAGCTCCGTTTCACCGCACACATGAATACTGCAGTCAATTATGGAATAGACCGTTTTCGGCTTTTATGTTTCTTTTTGGACGAGTTCAACGTAAGATCGTTCTCCTCATCAACAATTCATCTCTAACACGTACCTTGCAGGTCCTTCTTTATCCTTTATCTACCAATTCTACTTTAACTAACCCGTATGTGTCGCATTTATACCTTTCAGTTATTTTTTTTCCTGGGCACAGCACAACTGTGCAACAGTCTCCCCTTTTCAAGCTTCCTACCAACCTAAAAGATCCCTACCTTTAGACACAAAATCAACAAGCTGGTTCTTGTTCAGGTTTATCCTTCCATTTACATTGTATCCATAGATTATTGGGTTCACTCTTTTTACAGTATTCGCTAGTTTAATGAAAAAAGTTTGACTTATCACCGGTAATAAGCGCCTTGAAACAATCCACGATTACGATAGACAGTGTTGTTCTTTCCTCAACCTAACTGTGATTGGGTTGGTTCCCTGAAACGTTGGGACATAAGTCTTACCATCATAGATGCACCACTAGAGAACAGTGAGTGACCCGCACATTTCAGCACCCATCCTTCTTCAGAGTGATGCTCTTAACCCCAGTCAACAACTGTCATCGTGTAACCATTTTCACTGTATGATTTATAAGAAATTGATAAAGAATGGACGTCAATAATCTTTCGCTCAACGGCTCATTGAATACATGTTTCCTTGGGATTTTTCGAGAATTAACAGGGTTGCTAATTTGGTTCCAAGATATCATCTT